AACGGAATTGGGCTATAAGGAGTACTACAACAAGAGTATGACTCTACAAGGGTATCAGACTATACGATCTATATATATAGATAATGCGAACTGGGTTTTGTCTATTACCCAATCAAAGCTGAAGGACAGAAGTGTAACTTCACAGGGAAAAAAGCAGCCGTGCAGTATACACGGGCTATCGCTAGTAAAAAAGTAAAACAGGATAAATTTTATTTTTCGTGGACCTATGAGTTTTGCGTAGATACCATGCTCCTTTATCACTGATTTGATTATCACCGAGATCTAGTGTAGTTAGTGTCTGTTTTAAATAGTCAGTGAATGCTAGATATAAACGGTGATGACATCATTTTGTTTTGTTCGAGAGCTTTCCCAAGATATTGTGTTCCTTGATGACTGATTCGATTCTCCCTGAGGTTCAGTGTGATTAATGTCTGTTTTCAATAGACTGTGACTGATAAGTACAGAAGGCGAAAATGTTACTTTATTTTCTTCGAGAGCTTTGCTTAAATGTTGTGCTCCTTTATCATTGATTTGATTCTCACTGAGGTCCAGTGCAGTTAGTGTCTGGTTTGACCAGGCAGTGAATAATAAGTAGAGAAAGTAAGGATATTACTCTGCTTTATTCGAGAGCTGTTCCAAGATGTAGTGCTCCTTCGTCTCCAATTTGATTGCCACCAAGACTTAATGTGGTTAGTGTCTGTTATGCATAATCAATGAATGATAATAGAACAGGTGGAGATATTACTTTGCTTTGTCCGAGAGTTTTGCCTAGATGTTGTGTTCCTTGATGACCAATTGCATTGTTGCTAAGGTCCAGTGCAATAAGTACCTGTTTCGCATAGGCAATGAATAATAGATAGAGAATGTAGTGATATTACTATGTTTCGTTCGAGAGCTTTGCCGAAATGTTGTGCTCCATGATCACCGATTCGACTGTCCCTAAGGTTCATCGTGGTGAGAGCCTATTTTGAATAGGCACTGAATGATAGATATAGATGATGAAGAGTTTACTTGGTTTCGTTGAAGAGCTTTCACAAGATATTGTGCTCCTTTAGCACCGGTTTCATTTCGTTAGGGGTCCAATGTGGTTATTGTCTGTTTTAAGTAAGGAAAAAATTGATAGATAGAAAAAATAAAGATATTGCTTGGTTTTGTTCGTGAGCTTTGCCAAAATGTTTTGCTCCTTTGTCACTGATTGTATGGCCACTCAACTGCAGTGTGATTAGTGTCTATGCGTGGAAAGAAGAGAATGGGAATAGTTGAACGGTTCCATTTTGTCGGAAAAGAAAACACTGCAAAATAGTAGCAAGAATGAAAATTTGAGTGGGATATGTAAATTGTCTTGAAATTGTTGTGGACTGCTTGATACCGATATTGGAGCTCTGCAAAGAATGATGGAGTTCGAGATGGATTGAAACGTTTCGGAATAGTAAGCCCTGATGCTCATTAATGTTTGATGTAGGAAAACGAAAATATCCAGTCTGTGAGAAGTACTGTTCCTGCTATCATTCTCCATGCATTTTTTGATTCCTTTGTTTTTTCATTAATGTTGTTAGAGTTGCGTGTGCTGTTTTAACTGATATGCAATGGAAACAAACTTGTCGAATATTGAATCATGACAGAAATGCTAGTGTGGTAAAGACATTGTTCCTGGAAAGGATCGATCTTAGTAGTTTTTTCTTTACTGTGATCTTATTGATGATCCTTGAAATGTAGCTTTTAAGTGTAATCATCTCAGAATTCTTCAAGTTAGCGTCATCTCAACGAGTGGTACTCATTTTCTCGATTATTGAATTATTATTAATGACATTTACTAGCTAACCTGAACGATTGTCAGCGATCAATCACTATTTTCGACTGAAACTTAAAGTATAAGTTACTTTCAACAAGTCGTTCAATTTATTCAGTTCAATCTTTCAGTTGGAGATTAACGAAGAACAAATACTCGTGAAATGATATATGAGATTGATATCATAGACAAATGAATCATGTGCTGAAGATAATAGAAGTTCAATGCACAGATGTATTTGCGTTTAACCTGATATCGATAGTAGCTGTCGACAATTACATTTATATGTGTACAAACGTTGCGCGTCGAGCATAAAAGATCGAAATCACTAAGATGATTAAGAATATTGTAGACGAGTTCTACTGGTAATGTAAGAAGAATAGGAATAACGTTGGTCGACATGAATGAAAGTCTTGTTAGATGTTCTTGGATTTTGAAATGTGCGTGAAATAACGGGTGTGCCAGGATGAATGGCCGCATTTTGCATTTCAATTTTCATTCACTTAATATGCTGTTTAAAAAAAACAAAATACACCACAAGATGCAGCGTGAACAGCTGTACAATTTACATAAGACCGCTTCTCTTATAGTTCCACGTTTTACTTTCAAAATGGTCAAAATTTTAAGCAATCAAGTTTTAGCCGTGCGAAAATGACATTTTTTTGCCACAAGATGATTTTGTTATTTTTTATTTCATCTTTTTATCACCTGATATCTTTCATTTTAAAAAAAGGGTGTGGGTGTAAGGAAAAGAACACACCCACACCCACACCCACACACCCACACCCACACCCACACACCCACACCCACACCCACACCCACACCCACACCCACACACCCACACCCACACCCACACCCACACCCACACCCACAACCACAACCACACCTCAGGGAGAATCGAATCAGTCATTAAGGAACACAATATCTTAGGAAAGTTCTCGAACAAAACAAAATGATGTCATCACCGTTTATATCTAGCATTCACTGACTATTTAAAACAGACACTAACTAGGCTAGATCTCGGTGATAATCAAATCAGTGATAAAGGAGCATGGTATCTACGCAAAACTCATAGGTCCACAAAAAATAAAATTTATCCTGTTTTACTTTTTTATAAATGATATTCAGTCTTTTAGTGCCTTTAGTGCCTTTAGTCCTTTTAGTCCCTTTAACCCTTTTAGTGCTTTTAAAAGACCAAAAGTACTAAAAGGACTAAAAGGACTAAAGGGATTAAAGGGAGTATCGTAGTGTATAGAAAAGTAAAACAGGATAACTTTAAATTCTCGTGGATCCCTCACTTTTTGAGCTATATTGTGCGAGAACTCAAACTGCGCTATTTATTGAACTACGGTGCCTTTTGATCTTTCATCTTCTTGTTTTCTTGGAATTTGATTTTAAAAATAAATACATTATTTGTTTTTCGTGGCCAATGAACACATTATAAGTAGATTGTACTATGAATATTGCCAGAAAAAGTATATTTCGGCTGTGCCTGGTTTCAAATGACGAAAGAAATTTGCGATTGCACTTTGAATCATTGTCGACTCGGTCTAATCAAGCAGAATAATGCGAAAATATCCATGACAGGTACTCAATCGAGTTAGCGATGGCCTGAATGCTGAAGATTCTTTTCTATTCATGTGGACCAGATCTGTATAGTCTTTGTCTCGCAAAGTCCTTGACCACGACTAGTCTGAAATCAGCGGCTTCTTTGTATCGTGTCTCGTTCCAGTCATTGACGGTAGTCATCATAGATGTTTAGTCTAGTCTTTTTCTAGAGAAAGACGCAGTCAGAACGTGGGCATGGGTGTGGATTTGAGTGTGGGGTGTGCATGTGGGTATGGTTGCTACATTTGTAGTGATGATCCACCGATATACCTACACCACATTCCATACTTAACGGACACATTTGATTCAAAACATATATATACTCAATTTATTGAAGAAAAGTAACCAAAGTATTTTCGAATGTATAACTGATCAAATGTGAAACTTATTTCTTTATTATAATAGATAGAATGATGATCGTTTATTTTTTGAAATTTCACAATTAAAAAGTCGTCTTTATGACTTGATTCGATATCGAACTTGTAGTTTCAACACATAATGGTTTTGCATTGACTCTTTGAAGAGTAAGTATATGATGTAAAAAAAAACTATTTTTTTTTCAAGAGACAGGCTGTTTCACAGAATGGTGGATGAGATAATAAATTAATGGCTAATATTTCATTTTATTGATACATGATTGTCAATTGAACAAGATACGATCTAATGTATGAACATAACAATATCTATTTTTCTCTCGAATATCACAAGAACAACGATAAAGTGATTAATAATTAGTAGCGGACAACAAAAGCAACAAATAGATGATAGAGGAAAAAGAATGCAATGAATAGAATTTGACTACAGACGAAATATTTTTTGTAATTAGATAGAAGTTTGCAATTCATAATATTTCAAGTTTGATTATTGTCATTTATGGTCTTGTTTGAAATTGAGTGGTTCGTATTGGTGCAATTAAATTACGTTTTTGTTGATAATGAAACAATTCTTTGATCCATTTGGTTAGTTCTGGAAGTAAACTTAGATATACCCATGGAAGAAAAAGACATACAACATAGATGAGATCGAGAAAGAAATCTGTTTGAATTTGAGCAAGAAATGTTGGATAGCCAAGTATTTGTACAAGTCCTACAGTGAGACATGGTGTCCAAGCAATGATATAAAGGCTTGAAATGGCGAGCAATTGAACTGTCATACGTCGCTGTTGTCGCCATGTTAATGCTTGTTGAAAACGTCGCTTTTGTCGAACCACTCGCATAATTAAGGCTAAATTGGCTAATGCATTTACAACCATAGGTAATCCATTGTTGAATGCCCAGTCAAATGTGCCGAGTACTTTATTAAAAAGAAGATAACAATCAGCAAAACCACACAAATTACTAGTATAATCCCATTGTGTACCATCACATGAATAAAGAATAATGGCGAAAAAATAAAACGTGACTGGATAAATAAGACAAAGAAGAAGTGGTAGATTATGCAGAACATTACGCATCCAAGGGATTCGTAAAATATGTCCATGAAAAATGAGCATGTGTCGTTGAACAGAAATTGTTGCCATTAAATATTCACTTGTTACATAGAGAGTAAATTCAAAGAAAGTCCACCATGTACAGAAAGTTGGGGTAGCTGGATCAACATAACTATGATGATAGAAATGAAGTGGAAGTGGTAAAGCAAATGATAACTGAATGAAATTGACCAAAAGTAAGATAAATAAAGCTTGATTATGCGGAGCACGAAGATCAGTTCGATGTTTAATAAAAAAGATAAAGATTAGAATAGAAAGTACAATGGCTGGAATTTGTAGTAAAAGTAACACTGAAAATTTGACATGATGAAGTAGAAACTTCTTGTTTTCGAATACTTCAATTCCAGTGCTATTCATTTTTATTACTTTTTATAACATTCACATCTGATGTTGAATCTAATATAGAAAAACAAGAAGCAACCATCAAAATTATTATTTTCTCTTTTTTTTTTGTACTCAGTCTTGATGATGTGCGACATTCTTTTTTCTATTGATATCATCACTAAGAATTGACACATGTAGATTTCTTTCTCGAATCATTGTTCAACTATGCAATGCAACCAAGTGGAAACCATCGAGGGGAACCTACTAAGATCAGCTTATTTTATACAATAATGAGAGTATTCAACAAGTTTTTATCCGCTGTTTCCACTATTAATTGATCTCATTGTTCGTTATTGCTCGAGCTACAATCAATTCAAGCATAAATTTTTGTTCCAGTAAGATTACAAACAGAAATAAAGGAATGAAGTCGTAGATACATCAGTCCTTTTTTTCCAGTCTAGCGCTTTCCGTTTTCAGAAATGAAAGAAAGAAAAATTTATGTGATAGAGAAATTGAAAATTTTTGCGGAGTTTTTTACGGCAATATCTTTCTCGTATCTTCTTTAGTTTCATTTCTGCTCAGAACTAATCTCGATTCCACATGGCTGAGAGCTGACTCTCAATTAAAAACACATCTTTAGACTGTATGAACGGTCATAAAATGTGTTAGATGACTTTGAATATTGATTAGCTAATTTTAGAACTACTAAAAATGAATGCATGCTGGCAGAAAAAGAAGATCATAAAATAACCTAGTCCTAAGTTCACACTAAATCAAGTATTTTTGTTTCATTGATCAGTAAAATGACTGTTTTTGAATACCATATCAATTGTTGTCGGTGCGATTGCCATCAAGTCATCAATGCAAAAACTTATTGATTATTTCAGCTGAAAAAATAAATGACAATTGAGAATTTTATTTTCGAATTTTTTTCATTAACGACATCATCTCATGGGCATATAATACGAGGTGTGTCATTTCCTTTTTTTGGATGTAAGATTTTTCTTTTTCAAATAAATTTAAATAAAAATATTGAATTGTTGATTTTACTTGAGAATTAACTGATCTGTCTGTAACAATGTTAGAGACAGATTTTTTTCTACCATCCAACTAAAGTCTTTCGATAATCTCGATCCATGTGATTAGATAACAATATTCCCTGAAGTTTCTTCAGAACGACTCAATGAAAAGTTCTGAAACTTTCAGTGTAGATAGGTGTTGGAGATATTAAATGAAAAGTTGTGCCAGACTCATCTTCGCATGACGTTTCTTTCTTTGAGATATTGTGGTCGTCAGAGCTTAAACTAATCCCTATCATCGTCCTTGTTTCTTTGACACATTATGTTGGATCGATCTGAACATTTTTAGTTTCTTTTTATCTTGTTTTCTTCAAAGAGACTTCTCTAAAAAAAAGCTTATGTTGTTTTCACTAACACAGAAAGATTCCCAAATGTGAATCTTAGTGGTAAACGGGATATGAACAAAATTTATAGAGCTCGGCGAGCTAATTTTCGTGCTCTGTTCCGTGTTTTCATGGAGAACTTCAATTGAGCGAAACCGGCACGGTTTTGTGCACAGGATAACACTCGAAATATCGAAATTTGCAGCAGAACCTTCTCCGAGAAGGTTAAGTTTAAAAACTGTTTGTGGCACTTTTGGTTGCTCTTTGTCACATGGTAGATGGAAAAATATTTAAGGATAGGTTACTTTTCATATTTCGAGATTACGCTAGTCTATGTATCTGTTATTGCATTCGATTTATTCGGAAAATATTTCAAGATTAGAATCAATGAAAATGATGCACGGTAAAAAATGTTTGAGACACAGTGTTCATCAATAATGACTACAACAAATGAATGCACTCTTGTCACAATCACTATCTGAGCAACTGTTGTTATTAAAAGGAAAGAAAATTTCTACAAAGCTCGAGAAGTTTGGAATATTGTTTTGGAATGTAGCCAAAAGTTGACCATGCATATAAAGTCATCGGTTTGAATACAGAAGAATTTAGTTGATTATGAGTCACATTTTGTAATGTGATAATAGAATCTCAACTTCTTAGGTCAATATCTAATTTGCCTAGAGATGTACGATAGTAAATTATCTTCGTTAACTCTTTTCATTGACAGAAAAAATAAGTATTACACGATTGTTTAGTTGATATTGTTCTTCTAGATATCACCAATAATTTGCATGATTGCCCTTTTGTCAGATTGGTTTCATACACACTGATGTCAGTCTACTGGGATCATTGATAGACGAAAAGAAGAAATCGATTGGTCGTTACTTTATCTAAAACTTCTCGAATTAAACATTCTATCAGATACTTATTTAATTTTTCAGATTCGCTGCACCTTGCTATTGTATTTGGATAAGTTGTTTTTTCTTCTAAATAAGATAACGTGTGGTTCAACGCTATCGCATAAGGAATATGGATTGCTCTGCATTTAGCACAATGTCAAGCTTATATTTTAGTATATATTTAGTCACTTCGGAAACAAAATCGTCGGCAGTCTTTTTAAGTATACATTTATCAACAGCTTCCTGGTGAGAGAAAGTGTTGTCCTCTTTTTCGAAGAAATATCGTTGCGTTTCTTGAAATTAACGAACCACTGATGACTTGCTGTAAGAATCATCGATATTCTCCATTTTTGCTGGTGCTAACGTGCATCATTAAACATCAATGTTATGCACTGACAAATTATTATCACAAGTATGCCGAAACCTGCCAAGTACAAAAGTCTTCACACGATTCAGTTTTCGCCGATGATTTTCGTTAATCGCGACACACTCTCGGAATTGTGTTAGTTGCATAGGATGGAACTCGTGGGTCATCATGCTGTAAGGTTGTGAAAGAAATATCTAGATGATCAAAGTCAACAACTTTTTACGTGCATACTAAAATTAACGGGCGCTTTCTAACTACTTAGTGTTGTTCATCATCTTCGATTTCAATACTACCATCCGAACAAAAATCGCCGTCGTGAAAAAATTCGAGAGAATCGTTTGACTTTATAATAAAGCTGTCACTGTTGGAAAGGTCTTCCTCTAAAACGACTCGATTGGTTGTGATCAATGTTTTTTGCTCTGTGATACTTGTTAGGTGAACATTTGATCTTTCTAGTGCCTTTTGATGCATACATTTACATATGTTACAAACATTCGACATAGAAAAGCAAGTGATGAAATAGTCAAGCTTAAAAGAATATTGATTAAAAGTTGTTTCCAACATTTTGTTTCAAACACCGAATATAGAAGTTCAAAAGAAAGAGAAAGAATTCACTGGAACCTATTAAATGATAATAGAAATATCGGAGGCGAAAAGCACAAGAAGGAAATAGAGGAATAATGAATAAGAATATATAAAAAAAAATGAGAACATTTGATTGAAGAACATCCAGCTACTATCTGGTATGTGAATGGTCCTCCTTTTCCTCCTTTTCCTCCTTTTCCCCAAAATGCATCCTCCTTCTCCTCCTTTTCACCTAAAAATCCTCCTTTTCCTCCTTTTTCTCACTTAAGATATAAAATCAGAACTTTTAATATTTTAAACAAAAACTTCCGATGATTCAACAACTCAAAAGATATTTCAAGTAATTTATATTAGTACTACAACAACAATGT